TAAATAACACTCTGCAAAGAAAACTTCACACACTTTCATTTAAAGTTCCTCAACTTACACTTAAAGTGGCACTACAGAGAATTTCGGAGACAAAGGATTCAAGATGCCCTCAGCCACAGAGCTGGCTTGAACACAGCTGTGCTGAACCCACACCAAGGTTTGGTCCAAACCACAGGGCACAAGACAATGCTGAAAACCTGTCTAAATGTTACCATTTTGGGGCTTTCTTGGAACTCACCTACAACATTGCAGGAACTCCATTACCAGGACAGGGTCCTCAAATGCAGAAAAATGCCAAAAACACATTGAAAAGGTGCTACTAAACTAACTACAGCAAACGAGATGACCATCAGTTGGGTCATTACCTGCAATGATACCAATGTCTGATTTCTTGATAGAGCAACATTCAGCAATAATAAGCTCAATATTAGACAGGTTTTTTGGTTCTGATTGAAAGAAACCAGACTATCAATCGTTCTTTTCAGCTACCTACAAAAATCATTCCCTAAAACCATGTTACTAAAAACATGATAGGAGTGAGGAGTGAGTGGCTTGTGGTCTGGAGAGGCTCAGAGGGAACATTAAACTGTGGAACAGTACTCCTAAACCAAAACAGGGAGTAGCATCTTATGGTTCATGACTCAGTTTATTCTTTACTGTTTTTCATGCTAAATGTTCTATTTAGAGCAAAGAAAGTTGAAACACTCCAGCATATATAATCCTGTAGGATATGAAATATATCCTGTAAACATATGAAATAAATTACATATATTTCTAGATCCATATGGATCTAAGAAGAGTTAGCTTTTTACCATGAACCATAAGTATGGACTGTTCAAAATAAACACTGTCATCCTATTTTCCTTTGTATTCCTACCTGCATGTTACAAAGAGTGAGGAATCTGTGCAGTCTCTCCATGGTTCTGAAAAATCTCCTTAGAGGGAATTCCATTTTGGCCACTGGAAATAATCCAATTTTAGCAGCATCACAAGGTCACTCCCAAGAGCCACCCTGAAACATACAGCATGAAAATCTGCAAAGCCAGAATCTGTAACAGAAAGGAAAACAGGTACATCATGGCTACAATTAAACTGTAGATCTTACAAAGCCCTGAGTCCTTTCCTATAAGGGGAGAAGTTGGAGCAGGTTTTTGATGAGTGAAAAACAAAAATTGTGTTTGGCAAAATGATCTGATGTTCTGGAAAATTATTTTATTCCATAAAATTATTGTACTCCACTTAAAGAAAGGGTAAGCTGGCAGCAGTTACTTTATACATAAAGAATGTTTGAAATAGACACAAAAATCATGGTTTTAGAAATTATAGTAACAGAACATGAACAACCACGTCTCTGAATTTGAGAGATTAAGCTATAGCTTTTCAATAGAAATATCATCACTACTTAGAAGATTGGGAAAAATAATTTCAAGTATTTTCCATTAAGGGATTGTTTCAGGAAAGTTTTTTGTGCCCAGAAGAGAAGTTTAAAGCCCCGCTTATCCCTCTGCAGTCAGAATTCATAACAATCAAGGCAAAACACAAAAAATATTCAAGTGTAGCCCCCTAGAACTTGAACATTTGTTCTGACTGTGATTTTCAGCATGAGACAACACGGTTTAACAAGCTGGATCAGATGGTTATTTTCACGTAGTTTCAGTCATTACTTGACAGTAGGGACTGATTTATCCACATCCACAACAGCAAGGCAGTTGGCTCCCAGATCCCTCCCACATCCCATTTTTGACTTCACATTTTCAAATACACCAAATGGCAGCTAGTGATGACAACAAGGAACAGGAAAACTCTCCGCAAGTAAATGCTATGAGTTCCACTAACCATTTCCACTTAAAAATTAAATTCTCTTAGGTGTGATGAAACCAGAATTTAGTCTCTGGCTCTCATATGAAGCCACTTGGAAGTCTACCACAGTACTCTAGGATGTACCTTGCCAAATACTTCTGCGTGCTGGACACACATTTCAGGGCAGCAAAATTCAATTTTGCTTCAAATGCAATGGGGTTTTAAACTAATGTAGCAAGTCATTATAATAATTGCCATTAACCAAACCAGAATTGTAGAATAACAATTGTATAGTAATATTGTGTAACATTAAAAAAGTAAATGCTATTATATTCCAACAATCAGGTAGCTACACATCAAAATACTAATTTATTTTTTGAGCAGCATAAATATGGTTTTTTGACTGGGACTGAGCAGGAAGTGGTGTTCTAATAGAGTTAACACCACTTAGGGTCCTCAGGGAGCCAGAAAATTCTGAGGTTCTGTGGAACCACCAAGACTAAAATGAAGGAAAAGCTCCCACAGTAGTTTTGTCTCCAACAGCATTCTGCTCAAATTCTGAAATTAAGGCCACTGCACACTAGAAATCAGCCCTGGACCTTTGAAATCAATGGGATCCTCCATGTAAGGAATACAGCTAAATATATTATATTCTCTGCCAGTTGTTTGTATATACCTTCTGTATTTCCCCTAAAATATTCATTCCTTGTAACTGCATGCAAATAGTCAGCTTTACAAAGGATGCTGTGTATTCTCATTAGATGAAAGGTTCTATTTTCCTGATGACATTCCATTCGGAATTTAAGCCAAAACACATTAAAGTCAAAAGGAGAAAAAAACCCCTACATTTGCCTTAAAGCCCAGTCTTGATTTGTGACAAAAATGAACCGTTCCTACTTACAAATCAGGTCCCTGAATCAGTTTCATCTCTTCTTTAGGTATTGGATAAAATGGTTATATATGCTTCCACTCCTATTAAATAGTGTAGAATTCATTCTTCTTAAGTGGCAAAAGCTTTCAATGAATTAATGAAAAGAAAATCAGAGAATAATTTGTTTCATGAGGGATCTTAAAGACCTTCTCATTCCAACACCTCTGCCACAGACAGGTTGCTCAAAGCCCAATCCCACACAGCCTTGAACACTTCCAGGCTGGAGCACCCAGAATTTCTCTGGGCAACCTATTCTAGTGCCTCACCACTTCCCAGTGAAGAATTTCTTCCTTCCATTTAATCTAAATCTGCCCTGTCTATATATAAACTGAGAAGTGCAAGCCTTCCATCAAACCCCTAAGTTCTTCCATTTTAAATTTCCATTTGAACTTTTCACAGTGAAAACCACTGATTTTTCAATCAAACACTGATGCAAGGGTACAAATTAGTTTCCATGTTTTAAACTTACAAAATAGTGTGTGTGTGGACATTTTGGGTCAAGGCAGCCATGTCTAAACCACTACCACCCTGAAAGATAACTGCTTTTCAATGTTTAATTCACTCTTAGTGTGGACAGTGCTCATAAAGGTAACAAACCAATAAAGGTTTTCTCTTCTACAGCTCTCTCAAAGTCTCATTAAAAACAAAGGACAAGCATGAAGTTGTCCAACCGTGTTCTCTAAGCACAGACAAATGTAAAACATTAAGATAAATCAGGAAAATGACTCTCTTCTTTAGCCTTGGTTACTGCGTAGTTAGATGTTACAATACCTGCAACATCCTGAGTGCTACCCATTAGGACAGAAAGTGGTGGATGATAAAGAATATTTATGTGCTTATAAGAGCAGTGGGCTCCACTTTTACTCACTTGATGTACTTGGAGAAACACAAAATGCTGCAGACATGCATAAAAGTACCTCCACAAAAAATCTAGGATACAAAAAAAAGCCCTTTAGATGAGATCAAATATTTTGTTGGAAAATACATCATCTTACTCTAAAAACATTAACTTAAGTGTGCAGTTCGCTGAAAGTCTGAGCTACTGAAAAAACATCTTTGCATTCTGCACAATGTGCCACTGTGAGGACTTTGTCACAATTAACAGGGGAAAATCAGCTCTGTATTTCATGGAGTTTAAGCGAGAACTTGAATGTAAAGAGATACTCAACAGCTTTCTGGTTTACTGGATAATCTGAGCCAATTTACAAGGAGTACAGAGGGATCCTGTTATTACTCAAAGGGCATCATTTCACTGCTTAACTTTAGCACAGTAGAACAAATTAAATGAAATTTACAGGCTTAGAAACCAGAAAGAAATAAAGATTACAGAGAAGATGGTGAAAAGAACAAAAATTGTTAATTGGAAAACCATTAAAAGAAAAAATACTAGAGAAATTAATTTTACCATTATGGCTTTCACCTATTTTTACATCATTAGAAAATCCTCAATTATTAGAATACCGGATTGCACTTCTTACTGATCACAAAATGATCCAGATGATGCCCAGCAAGTGCCAGAATTTGGCCCAAACTTGATTCAGTCTAAATTCTTTAAATCTAATCCATATCCAAATCATTATAGCAAGGTAATTCTAACAGAGTTTTCTGGGAACAACAAGACTTTTATTTAATTTAACAAAGGCAGAATGGACATTTGAAATTACAATCTCATCATCTACCATGCCCCCTGCAGAATTTGGTGTGACTTCTCTGGTTTCAGTGTTCCAATTTAACTTGATTCCAAAGGGCTGTGCTGTACAAGGGGGCTCACTGCAACTTAGGGCCTGACACAGCCAATCACAAATACCAGCATTCCAGATTGGGAAACAGGTGGCATCATTTGTTTCCTCAAAATTAGAGCTCTTCCAGTGTGCAAAGGCTTTTAACACCCAGCCTTTCAGGTCCACACATCACTTGAGGCTCTGCCAACCTTTCACCAGGAGATATGGAAACAGCCTTCAATACCAGTGCTGATGGAGCTTCAGCAAATATGAAAAGCTTCAGATTGCTTCAGAAAAGCTGTTAAGATATCAAATGCAAGCACACAGTTTACTGAAAGGTATACAAGCAAAGAAAGCTTTTCTTAAAGAATAAAATCTCAGTGGATTCCTGTTGTCTCCACTTGTGTGAAGCTGGTGATGGATACTCAGCAAAATGAGAGTCTGACAGCAATTACAAACTCTTCTAACAAGACCTGAGATTCTTAGGTGGTTTCTAATGCAGTAGAGGGCTCAGGGAACACGGAACACAAATCCAATGGAAAGCAGGCTTCACAAAACAGCTTTTAATTAGGATGTTCTAATTAGATGCTGAAGAGACACACAATCACCCACAATTAATTCTACTCTTGATAAGGCTTAGGGAACATCACAGCTAAGTCAGAAAAGACACAAGCAGTTTAACACTAACTTTCAAACCTGAATCTTCCAAGAGGCAATAGGAAAACATTCCTTACTTTTTACTCGTTCTCTAAACTGTCTCCCACTGTGTGCCCTACTGAAAACCAAAAAAACTTATTTTGCATAATACCTGCAATTTATTTTTAAACAATCCAGTCCTTATGACCATAATTAAATTCATTCCATCTGCTGAAAAACTAGGCAATTAGTAGTTCTAATAAACTAGCCATTAACTTGTACTTAGAAATGACTGATTTTAATAGCAGTATATTTAACAGTTTAAAGGAATCATCACATTTGTCAATTAGCACCATCAATTTTTAATTAAATGATCTTTCTACAAGTGGAGGAAAAAAAACACAGATGTTTCATTAAGTTTATATGGAGCAGAGAAGTCTTCTGACTAAAAGGCAATTTTTAAGGGCTGTTTTGCCTAAATCAACATTTTGAGATGTAAATGTTGATACACAAGCTAAAGACAGAAAGGAGAAAAGCTGCACAGATCTTCAGACAAAACTCTTCTCTAAGGAGGTTTTTGTGGTCTTGTTAATCAGGAAAAAATTAGATTTCATCAGAAAAAACAAGACATTGTTGAAAATTACAGAGGACTTTCAGAATACATCTCTACATTTGTAAATATCTATAGATGTATTATTCATATATATATAGAGGGAGAAGGTGTTAATAACCAGAGAGGTTATTTACTCTGCATATCCCATTACAGTGAGCACAAAGCAGTCAGTCAGTGCAGGTGATACAGAATCTGTGCAATAACCCTCATTTTAACAGATAAATTGCACATCTTATAAGCAAAGCCATCAGGATTTGAAGCACTTCAGGCATTGTAGACTCAGGAGGGTGAAAGCAAAGTCTTGGCACACTCAAGTTAACACATGCAGAATGTGATTAGTCTTTCCTGTATCATTTACTAAACCTGCTAATTAATCTGGAGGGCCTCACACAAGCATCAAATAGACAGACTAACTGGGATGGAAAGCAGTCCATTTACTTCTCTATTATACCTAAACAGGTGCAGAAATAAAAGGAAAAAAAAAATCCCCTTCTCATTAGCTCAGACATTCTTTTCCAATCCTAAATGTTAAATCTCAATAAGTCTTGACACTTCAGAGGTGCAGCATGTGGAAATGGACTCAAGTCTGAAGGATTCCAGTATATAAAAAAATTCCCCTTGTCTTTAAAGACTGACTTTGTGACTTGAAAAATTCTACTGTGAGCACATGTCAAGCCAAAGGCACTGGCAAGATAAAGATGTCTCCTTTTAGGCAGCAGGCTGCACTATAAATCCAAAACAATTTTTCATGCCAAAGACTTCTCTAATGACCATCTCATCAACAATATCTGAACAGATAAAATATAGTCCCCACTTCCTACTCAAAGAACAATATTAACAATAATCTGACAGAGCTTGATGCATGAGGTCCCTTAAAGGAAGGCTTGACGCTTGCTTTGTACACAGGTTTCATCAACAATTTCAAAATACAAACAAGACAGTTAGACCTATTTAAGAGTATAAGGAAATATGATTAATGTTAGTTTGAACAGTGATTTGTGATATACAGGCTGGTAGCACTTCACCTGTTGTCTTCAGCACAAAAGAGCCTGCAGAGGTGATAGAAGGGATCCATCCAAGAATATAAAGGAGCACAGAAAGGCATTGTGGCATCACCTACTCAAGAGTTCAGAGGTGAGCAAGTGCTCTGCAGCCTTACACATTTTATATTTGATTTCTAGCCTATGACTGTGTGATCCTACACTCCACTGAACAACATGTATCATGTGAACTTCACTGAGAGGGTGATCACACTGGAACCACAACTGGCTGCCCACTTCAAGAAACTGGAACAGGCTGTCCAGGAAAGTGGTGGAATCACCACAGTCCCTGGAAGCGTTCAAAAAAATGTGATTATGGGACATGGGATAGTGATGAGCATGGCAGGGTTAGTTTAAGAGCTGGACTCAATCTCAGAGGTCTTTTCCAGCCTTAACAATTCTCTGATTTATGCTGTACTCTCATTCCACCCCATAGAGAGCATGAAGAGAATGAATCTGTTACCAGCAAGACATGTGGAGATTTCCCATTCTCTCTTCATTTATGGTTTCCACTTAGCCCACAACAGCAAAGTCTGAGCTTCCCAATTCCCTGAATTCTGGCAGCTTTCTGCTTCAACTTCTCACTAGCTTTGCTCAGCAAGACAGTTTTGAGAACATCAGCAAGGAACTCTACTTTGCCCCCAGCTACTAGCACACAGCTCTAGTATAGCTTGTAAGTAATGAGAAACCACTGCAGGGAATCACACAACAATTCCTTCACTTGGGTTTCCAGCTACAAGAGTAGCTGCAATATTTCCAGCCAACAATCCTTCCAGCACAGTAACCTTTTTACATAGGTAGATGCCTAAAAAAGAGTAAGGAAGAGAGCACATGCTTGTCTTATCACTCTCCCAAATTCAAATTTATGCTGAGAGGATTTCTTTAATCTGATTTTATATACTTTAAACCCATCCCTTCATCTTTCTGCCATGTACCTTTCCCAGCCAGCCTCCCACTGAGTCCACAGAACCTCCTCAAGCACAGAGTGGCAGCAGTGCAAAGGGAAATATCACCTTGCTCTGCTCCCAGCCTGAGCTCCCAATCAAAGGGCACTCCCCATCCCAAGCCTGCCCCTGCCAGGCACAAAGAGCACTTCCCACTGACAAAGTCAAACCCTGGCAATTCTGCCTGCCAGGGCGGGATTCCTGCTCCCAGCAGATTCTGCAGAGAGTTCACCTCTCAAGCTGTGCTCTTCTGAAAAGCTGCTTCACAGAAATCACAAAAAGACTCCTGACAATGTGGACCTCTCACCAAGTCCCAACATTTCATTCCAGAAGTCACAGGAATTTAAGGAGCTACAAGACCACGGTTCTGTCTTCTGACATCATGAACTACCCTCCCTCTGAAGCCACTAAATATTTTGCTGAAATTAAAAAGGTTTAAAGCAGATACTTGGCATAAGAGGTTACAGCCTACCCTGTTAACATTTAGGAAACTAATATGCAATTTTAAAACAAGAATCAGTTCTTTAAAGTGCCAGACACTATTAAATATAAATGCCATGGCTTGTATAAGCTATAAAGCACTGAGAAAGTACCAGTTTCCAAACAGTTTCATTTGCTGAAGGAAGCAAACTCAGCAGTAAGAAGTGAACCAATTACATTGCCTAGAATTAGAGATGAATAATTTTATGACAGCTACTAGTGGCACCAAGATATAAATTTCATTGCCTGCAGAGGCTGAGTTCAAGAGAAATACCTCAAGAAATGAAAGGCAAGATTAAATTGGCAACAAATGTGCTCTACAGAGGGAATTTCTGTATTATAAAAAGGTAACATCTGAAAACTACTTTTTTTTTCCCCCACTAGAATCTGTTCCATTTTCCAAGAAAGCCACTGGACTAGTCTGGCTGGGCTGGTTTTAAAACAGCAGAAAGGACGTGGTAATTTAATTTTACTTGAGTAATGTTTACCTCAGCTATTTTAATAGCTCTGGTCTACCACATTTAAAAATACATTTGTATTTGCAAATACACTACAGAACTGGCAGACCGTATTTACACACACACTTTGGGAGAGTCTGCAGCATAATTGCTGAAAATGAAACAGGAAAATATTTTGGTATGTTCACAGCCAGTGCAGACACAAACAGTGCCTCCTGATCCATCACTGGAAAGCCTCCCACAGACCCCCTGCAGCCAAGGCTTTCACTTGGTTAGGAACAGAATAATGAAAACAAGCTTGAACAGAACAGAATTCTCCTGACAATACTAATTTCAGCAGACAGACAGGTAGATGGGAAAAGGCCTAACTGCAATACAGTTTATGATGAGTGTTGTATTGATCTCACTGAGGCTGTTTGTATGTTTTTACACAGCTGTTTATACAACCTGTGCGAATAAATCAGGCTTAACACACCTCCCTGTACTTTTGCTGAAGCACTGCTCAGAGACACTGTAGTAAACCAAAGCACTCAGCAAAAGAAAAAGAGAAAGGGATCACCAACTAAATAAATGCAGGTTAACTATCAAATTTCAGCATCATTATTCTACAAGTACCATAATTAAATGCGATGAATTCCACTTTAGAGATTGCCCTGGTACCAGGAAAAAATTGCTTTAAACTTCATGTGCAGCAAATTATGCACTGTGCCATTCACATTTCCAAAGGATTTTTACATGGTCAGAAATTAAAACACAAAGCATTCTGGGCTGTTCCTTTCAGAGGCACAAAACCACCTTGAAGAAAGGAACTGCAAGCAACACAGTACTTAACATCACATTCAGCAGTAATTTATCATCATGGTGCTGGCCAGTACCAATATCAACTCATTCATGTATCTAATAACTGGAACAGATAATGCAGGAGCTGTATTAACTACAGCATTCAAAAAATATATGGTCCTGAATGAAATTAGAGCTTCCTATCTCCAATATCTGACCTAGCATACCAGAAAAAAATATTTTAAAGTTCTCAAAGACATGAGCAAAATTGTACTCCTGTTAAGGGCTTTAGCATCCAAAAAAACCTCAACGTGCAGGATCACTACAAGAAATCTTAGAAGCTGAAGTTGCTCCAGCTTTGTGTTAAAGGTACAAATCACTTCTACCAGTAACGTTATCATTCAAGTTTTCTATACATAATTTTGTTTTTACATTTTTTACTTTTTGTTTTACATTTTTGTATTGAAGAAAACAAATTTTCTATCCCTCTTAAGCCACAGTTTTCATGTTGTTTCACTGCAGGTTGTTTGAACCACTGAAGCCTCACCCTTGAAGGGGTGCACCACCTCTCACAAAACAGCCTCTATTAAATGAAATAAAATCCTTCAGAATTCAAAACAGCCTTTTTGGAAAGTTTGCCAGAGACTATTCATGACATTTGCAAATAAAAATTAAATCCTGAATAACACAAATCATTTGAACACCAAACAACTACTTTTGTACTACAGATTGACTGACACCTCGTGGAATTTATCTTCCATTGGTTTTGTCTCAAAAATTATTTTTGAAAATAACCTTGCAGGAAAGCAAACATTAAAACTGTAACTGCACAGATGACAAGGGTTTCTTGCAACAAAAAACGTCTCCAATAAAGCACCATCAGTTTGACTGAAATATCCTTTTTCTAAAGCAAGGATACAGCAAGAAGGAATGGATCTGTGAGGGTGACTAGGCTGGCAGCACCAAGGCACAGTTTAGACAACCTTCTTCTCCCACCTAGTGGCAAGAAGCAAAAAGAACAAGGTCTTTGGGACTGCAAACATAATTTCCACTTTCTGGAGCACCTAGCACTTGCATTTCATACTACAAGGAAGATGGTTTTACTTTAAATTACTTATTTGGGGGAAATAATCAGTTTCCCTCCAAGTTCATCATTTACATACAAAGTCAAATCCAAAGCAGTTTGAAGTAGGAATAAACAAGAGAAATAAAAATTTTATTTACTATCTTTTACATACAAAGTATCATTCCTCAGAGGAAAACAACCTTTGTGAGAAAAGCAGTACACCCATTTTGAACCTTTGCACACAGTTTTTTGACAAAGTCTAAAAGTTTTGCCAAATGGCATTTTGGTTTTGACTAAAATTTTTAAAGCAGCTTTGAGGCATCAATGTCTAGATGATACTTTAATCAATATCTATTGAATTATTCATTATTTCAGACTGATGTCATCCTTTAGAAAACTGTACATGGATAGAAGGTAGAAAAGAAGCCAAACAACTGATTGTACAATACTTACAATTTTCAACAGATGGCACTTTACAGCAAGGAACCTATACTGTCTAATTGAAACAGAGCAAATTGGATGGCTGAGTGCACTGGCATGCCAAAGTCTGCCACAGGAAAAAAAAAACCCACAAAAATCTAATATCTTCTAATTTGAAAGCACATTCTATAAAACTGAATGTACAAAGACAGAATCTAGAGCTAAACAAAGCATGTTAGTTCAGAGTTTATCTCAGATATCAACCACACTGAGATGTTCACAAAGGGCAGATGTTCCCACCTTCTTCTCCGGCAGAACTTACAGCTAGAGTGAAGCTGAAAGGCAGCAGAGAAAAATAGGACCATCAAAATGTGTTTATTAAATCAGCAGGCACAATCAAGCAGCAGCTGCTAAGCTAGACCAAAAAAAAGGAACATATGATTTGTAAATCTGGTGACGGTTCACAGATTAGATGTTGCCACCTCATATTCAATATTGTTAAAATGACTCATGCCCATACACAGAAAATGTACACCCAGAGTATCTCCAGCCTTCAGGGGAATGCCAAAAAAAAAATTCTCAGACAACTGAGATAAATTCTTGAAGTAATATGACAAGCCTTAGGAAAAAAAACCTGCTTTTGCATGCACACAACTACACCAAAAGATTTTACTGAGCATGATTTGTCCCAAAAACTTCACCTGAAACACATAAAACCTTGTGTAAATCTATCCTCTGCCCCTAAACACCATCAGGCACTCCACAGAGAGGTCTGTGGGACAGAATAAGTTTCCCCTTTGGCATTAAGCAAGGCAAAACTTCCCGCACAGGAACATATGGGAAAGGGCAGTGTTATCCCTCTGGCAGGCCAAGTACTGAGCCTCCAAAATCCATTTTTTCTTCCTCCTGATTGTAAGCAAAAAATCTAGGCACATAAGGATCTCCTTCAGCAGTCAACAAAATTAAAATACAGCAAGTAGAGTAAACCAAAAAAATTCAATCCAGGTATTGGCCTTGTCAGACTTCAGAGCTCTCACAAAAGCACAGCTGCAATTTCAGCACATTTTTCTTCCTGCACTGGCAGCAGCAGATTCATCTCTTGCACAGATTAAAAAGTCCAAGCCATTCATACATTGAGAATCAACAACTCCACAAGCTTTGCAGCTGATTTTCAGACTGATCCATGATTCTGGTGCCAAGGAAAGCCTTGCTAATCTGGTACCTACAACCTCTGCTCAGAAGGAGGGAGTTGTTTCCACACAGCTCCAGCCAACTCCAACACTACAAAAATTTATGCCTCAATCCATTCATTTAGTGAGAGATTTCCATATATCTGATTCAGGCTGCTTCCAGTCTTCTCCTGTTAGTTCTTTCAGGTTCAAGTCTTTGAAAAATTCCAAACGATGACTGCAAACAAAAGAGAAATAAACAAAATCCTAACTTTTGTAGCTATCTGTAAGAGCAAAGACAAACAGAGTAATGAAATCAGCAAGGAACAGTCTCTTCACACAATTTCATCTGCTACCAACATCTGAAAAAGACAAGGGTTTTTTTGAAAGGGTTAATATAGAAAGAATTCCTTCTTAGAAGGTATTACAGCCATTCTCCAATGTAATAAAATAAAAATTTCCATTTGTCACTGAAAACTGATATGCTTCATTAACAATAGCTCAGATTTTTTTTTTAATATACAGTTGTAGAAGCTTATTTTTTCTTAAATAAAGGGTAATTTATTTAATATTTATCCTACCATCACTTATGTTGTCTGACAAGTTTTTTTAAGAGCTATAGTGTGCCCTCTAGAGCTGGTTCATTTGTACAAAATGCTCAGGAGTAACAGGTTTTACCAGATCATCTCAGCCTCATAGGCAAAGAAAATAAACAGGCTCAAAGCACAATTTAAAAATCCAAATTTGCTGTTTTTTCTATTGATAGGGGCCATCCTTTAATATTCTTTTTTTTTTTTTTTTTTTTTGGTTTTTTTGGGTTTGGTTTTTTTTTTTTTTGTTTTTTTTTTGTTTTGTTTTGTTTAGTCTGCCTTTGGGATTTTTTCCAGAACATGGAACCATCTGTAGATGTGAAAGCTTTTAGAGCAGCAGGGGAGGAGCAGAAGAGATTTACTGGAAATGTATCTGGTGAAATTCTCACTAAAACAGCAGTCCAGGAGGAGCTGAAGTCAAGAAGGAAAAGTAGAACAACCTACCCATGATTTAGATGAGAAAGGTGATAAAAGCAGATGCCAATGGTACTGAATGTGCCATTTTCTATTCACCTATCATGGAATCATGGAAACCAAGCCCTAACTACACTGCTTTATATAAAGTACAGCACCAGTGGGCCCAGAGCTAAGCAGTATAATAATATTGAGGGCATTCAATCCAAAAGTCAGATCAGCTTTTTCAAGTATTCCAACAATAGTGCAACCCTTTTACAGAAGAGTTCATTTTATGCTTACAAATCTGGTTCCTGTCCTTCCTGCACTTGGTGTGGAGGCACAGGGTAAAGTGCTTCATATTTTCTCTCTTCTCCCGAGCCATGAATTGCAAATGCATTGAACTTGTCAGTGCATGGTGGGAAATAACTCCAAGGGAGAAGAGCTTTACCCTCCCATCTGGTTTCCATTCTGGTCACCTCAAACTCCAAAGGAAGTTGTTCCTGTTAAAGGAGGAGAAAAAAAAAATGAAATAAGAGGTATTGACTATCTTTTGATGAGGAAGTAATTAAATAAAAGTCATTATGAATGTACTTGAGCACTTACTTTCCATGCTTTTCTTCTGCCAGAAAGCAGCAGCAGTAAGTACTGCCCATGGCTGTCAAAGAATCAGAGCACAGTTTTCCTAAAATTATGTCAAGTTATTAGTGCATTATAGCACCACAAATCTGTACATTCCCCATACTGAGCCAGTTTCTGTGTCTAGTCCCCCTCATACCATACATGTGTCTCACAAGCATCAGAACTGCAAGTGTAAAAAAAAAATAAATAAATAAAATCCCAAGTTAACTTTTGGGATTTTATCAGTGCTGCACTTACGGACAAAGCTCAACTTCCAAATACTGCTCACTTCTGTCACTCAGAAAGAATGCTTCTACAACTGAAAAAAAAACAAATCAAAAAATTTAAAAAAAGCAAACAAGCTGTCAGTGTTTTATAGTAACTATTCTGTAACATCCTGAGATCTTCATATCCCATTAATACAACTCAGCTTTCATAGGTTTTGACTGGGCCATGCCAGAGCCTGACTCACTACTGACACGTACACAGTAGCTACAAACCAAATATTCAAAATGCTGTGCCACAATTCCAGCTTCAGGAGCTCTTATCTCCAATTGCTGTGATCACAAAGAGCTTTATAAAGAGCTGCACTGACTTGATTAGCTTTACAAATTCCAGTTTTGAAAACGCTTAGCTTGATGCAGCAGGGAAAGGAAATAGACGGGGAAATAGACGGGGAAATACTCACACATTCAGAGCAGGGCACACACCCTGTAACTAAAACTGTTAAATCTCCAAAATAATAAGAAAGCACTTAGCTCTTCAATGGTTTTTCCCTGTAGAGGGATATTTTGGATAGAGGATTACTGTTCCAGGTGTCCTTGGAAGCTGCATATGACACTGGAATCACATTTCAGGAACACAAAATAGAACTACAATGGTGTTTCTCATGTAAAATTACAACAGTGCTTCTGACAGCAATGGCATTATTAGAAAACTTCAGACTGAATTATGATATGACTGATATCTTTATTTATTTTTACTTAAGCATATTTATTATAATAACACCAAAGAGAATTTTAGTAGAGCTTGAATCAGAATAGCTCAATAATCAGGATGTAAGGAACTGCTAGAAATATTAAATTCTTGCATTACTGAAAGCAATGGGTAAAAGTGACAGTATGGACAGGAAAGGAGAAAACACCCAGCACTACCATGAGAGTTTTCCCTATTTCATTTAGGTACAATTTGAACTGCATTTCATGAAGTGCAATTTCTGTGTTTCACACCTTCTTATTCCTCTAAGGAACTCTGGAAAAATTATTAAAACACTTCACTTTTTAAAGAAGAAGTCGAATCCATCTTTAGGATTTCACTTCTCCTTCCACAAGGGCATTTAAATCTATATATATGAACCACAAAATTATTTTGATACTCAAATACGTCAAGCCTCTGATAGTTCACAAGTTGCTTCAGTAACCCAAAACCTAAGTTTGAGTGCATATACTATTGACAGGATCAGGAAGTCAGCTTCAAAATCATTGAAATCAACACAGATTACTGAACTCCAGTTTTGGGGTTGTTTTGAAAAAAAAAAAAAAGAATTCTCACAGATGGAGAAGTCACTTAAAAAAAGACCAGGCATATGAAATACAGAGGAAGATCAGTGTCTACAGAAATCAGATATATTTGCAGAAGAGTTGCACTTACCCTCATAGTCCCAGAGCCCACCAAAAGGTTTCCCTGGCTCTCCGGGAGGTGCTGGAGGGTCGTTAAAGAAAGGAGCCCGAATTTGCATCAGCAATCCTGCATTATCCGGCCTCAGCCCAATTGAAACCGGCTCGTGGCTCACAGGCAAACCATCCCAGGTGTGCTCAATGAGAAATTCCATCTTCGGGTACTACACGACTGGAAAAGGAAAATTCTGTCAAAGAAGATCTCAGATTCCATGAATTGCCCTTTGGCTGCCCAGGAAAAAAAACAAACACACACTTTGGTCAATTACCAAATCGCGTTTGTAAACATCAGAACTGAAACAAACTAGCTCTGTAACAAAAAACCTAACAATGTTACCTACCCGTAACAACATAGTTACATAAATACCGTTTCTCATTGCGTTTATACCTGCAGGGTTACAAATTATACTGACATCTCGTAAAGCTTAAGGCTTTTCACACATACATCTAAATAAATACCTTCCAAAACCACCAGAAATATTAAACAAGAGGACATAAAACAAAACGGCCTCCACTACATGAATTTAGAGGATTTCCTAACATCAGAAAAACAGACTGAGAGGAAAACTTTTAATGTTTGAGACACAAGGAAATGAAACAACTAGCTAGAGCTTTCATTTGCAGTCATTGCCAACCAGCCTTTCCTTAAACACCTCCAGGGACAGTGTGAGGCTCGTTCCAAAGCCGAATCACTATTTTTATAAAGAAATTACTCCTAAAGTCCAACCTGGGCTGTGTCCTCTCCTCCTGCCGCCGGTTCCCCGGGAGCAGCGGCCGCTCCCGCCTGCCCACAGCCCCCGGCGGGCAGAGCTCGGCTGCTCCGGCCACAGCCCGATTGTCTTCCCGAAGGGAAATTTAAGCGCCGAAGGGAGCTTTAACCAGCGAAGGGAAATTTAAAAACCAATCTTTAACCCACAGCAAGCAGAGAACCCCTTAAGCAGAGTTTACCGAGGCGTTCCTCCCACCCGGCCCCAGGGCCCCGCCATGGCCGCTCCCCACGTGACGGGGGCGGCGCTGCCGGCCCGGAGGGAGAGGCCGGGCCTGCCCCGGCCCTCAGCGGTTGTGAGGCTGCTCCGCGGGGCCCTGGAGCGGCTGTGGCTCCGCTGCTACCGGGGCTGCCTCCTTCCCGAGCGGGCTCTGGGAGGAGCGGAGGGGCGGCTCTGCCCGCTGCCCCCGCCCCGCGGCCCCGGCAGCTGAGGGGAGCGCGTCCCGCCCTCAGCGCCAGCGAGCTCCAGCCGCCTTCCCTCCTCCGGTACCGCTCTGGCTTTCCTTCCCTCCTCCGGCACAGCTCTGGGTCTTCTTTCCCTCCTCCGGCACAGCTCTGGGTTTCCTTCCCTCCTCTCCAGCCGGACAAGCGGCCTTTTCCCCCCGGGGCTCCGTGGAGTTTTCTCGGGGAAAGCCGGGAGCGAAGCGCGGCCGGGTGAGTGCGGGCAATGAGGGTTTAAATTCGCTGCCAGCGTAAAGGTTTTGAAGGTTTGCGTTCCGTAGGTTTCGCAGTGAGGGGAGTGCTTTTAGTTAGCGAAACCGCAGTAATTAAAGCGGCTAATGAGGTGATGGCCAAAAGCACGTGTTTTTGTAGGAATGGCTCTTTGGTAATTGTGAAAAACGCCAATCACTTGCTTTTTAAAAAAATTTTGAAATTTTAGTAGTAGTAAAATGGTTATAAAAATAGTGATACAATTAGGGTAATAATAATTTTGACAATTTGAATTAGGACAATATGAGACAATAGAATCAAAGAGTTACGGACGTCCGGGTACCTCTTTCTGGGCAAAATAAGCCCTAAAAATGATCCACGTTAACAAAGTATTAACTCTTAAAAACAACAACCTATTGCATATTCATGCACTTCATGCGTGATGGATAAATTCCATTCAAACACAGGATTCTGTCTGGTCATTGTCAGCTTCTTCCTCTGAATCCTAACAGTGTCTTCGAGGCAGGAAAAAGTTCGGTTCTTCTGATAAGAGAGCAATAAATTCTTTTTCTCTGAAAGATTCAGGTGTCCTGTGGCTGCTGTCTTACTGTGAGTCCTTTCTTTTAAAAAAGCATCCTACATAGCATAGTTTCTATTTTAACATTTTGTTACAACCTACAATTATATTTAACACACTACTTAAAAAAATTAATACAGCATAACTCTCTAACACAACACATGTAATATTCATTTTAATATTTGAGCAAAGCCAATCAAAATATGCATTTTTGACAGTAATGAAACCACAATGTGAAAAATTGATGTTTTATGATTGGCTTTTTGCAAATGTGAAAATGAATGTTATAAGTGTTGTGTTAGAAAGTGATGCTGCATTAATTTTTTTAAGTAGTGGTTTAGGTTATAATATAATGTTAAAATAGAAACTGTATATGTGAGGATTTTTTTTAAGAAAGGATTGAGGTACTTGCACCAAGATAGCAGCCAGAGGACACCTACATCTTTCAGAGAAAATTTATTTATTGCTCCATTATCAGAAGAAATAAACTTCTTCCTGCCTTGCTCAGCTCTGAAGACACTCTCAGGATTAAGAGGAAGAAAGTGACACTGCCCAGACAGAATTCTGTGTTTGAATGGAATTTATATATCATGGATGAGGTGTATAAATATGTTTTAAAAACAACAGGTTATTGTTTTTAAGGGTTAATCCTCTGTTAATGTGTGCCCTTTTTCAGGCTTATCTTGCCCAGAAAAAGGTACTCAGACCATCTGTACCTCTGTTCTTATTGTCTCATATTGTCCTAATCACAATTATCCAAATTATTATTACTCCTAATTATATTGCTATTTTTATAACCATTTTATTGTTATTAATCTTCTAAAGTTTTAAAAACAAGTGATTGGCATTTCTTACACTTCAGAAAGCTCTCTTGCCAATTATTCATGAAATTTACTTTACAGATTAAAATTGGTATTCTTAATCATGTGTTACTTGGTGGATTTAATATGACTTAATCAGAGTACATCTGAGTTACCAACAAAAGAACTGGCCAAACAAATTTGCATCTGCTGAGTTTATATTCCTGGGAGTTGGGGATGGGGTAGGTGCTTTGTCCCAAGGAATGTCCCTGTCCCCAAGGAGTGCTGCAGGAAAACTTGCAGCACAGCAGCAGCAGGTCACAGTTTTTTTAATATATTTATATTATTAATATAAATATATTAATATATTTATACATTTTCACAGGACAAGATTTGAAGTTGCCTTCAATGCCAGCTGAGCCCCTAAGTTATTTCAGGCCTACTCTGAGCCTGATGCATGGATTAATGTTTCTCTTTCTTCACAAATGTAAAATCAGAGTTGTAAAACACTGAATGTGTGTAATGCATCTGAAATGAGATTCTCTAACCAGTATTATACTAAATGTTGTAGGGTATTTGTCATGTTAAATATGTAGCTGTAAAGAAAGTTGAATTTTACCTGAATTCTTTTTGAAATATTAATAGCCAGACCTACAAATAACAATCCTCCATTCCATTCCATTCCATTCCATTCCATTCCATTCTTTTGTGGCACATGCTGAAATTTTTTCAGAATGTATTTAATGCTTTACTGTTGGAAGTGAATTTCTGTAAGTGTTTAAAATCTGTCCCTTTTTGCACCTGTAGCTTGCCAGGGCAGCAACTTTCCCCTTGTCTTTCCTGGCATTCCTTTGCTGTTATTTCCTTTCTATGCCCACTGGTTTTTTCCTATATCCTCCTTTAGAAGTTTAGAACTAATAAAAGAACCATGGGATGCGTAGCAAGAAAAATAGGCAAGAAGTTGTTTAAATCAAAATACAGCCATTGCATTCCCAACTTGTTTTTCCTTCTTTGTTACCCATTCCAGTTACAAAAGTGTTACTCAGATTCTTACAAAACAGAGCAAAAAATCATTCTTAAAGAAAACTGAATATAACAGGAATGGAATCCATTATTATTATTATTATTATTATTATTATTATTATTATTACTATTATTACAGTTCCTGTAGGTTTTTTTAAAGTATTTTTTTAAACAGTTGTGCTAAATAGAAGAATTTTAGAAACTTTTTTTTTTTTTTGCCCTTGAAGCATTATATTGTAAAACATATTTCTGACTGCCAGTCCCATTTATTTAGATGGAGGCCTGTGTTATAGCCATGATTCTCAAATGTGGTGTTTTGCAGATCAGAGGCTAAAAATGGCACTTGGACACTGTGAAACCAGTGAGATTCTGGGCATTACTGCTGAGCAGGTATGTGAACTCAGGCAAGGAAGTAGTAAAAATTTTTTTGATTGTGTTTTGTGATAAACAACTTTCCAAATATGGAGCACAGCTCACTTCAGGGTTGTTTGGCCCTGTTCTGGGTCCTTCATACAACAGAGCAACAGCAGAAAAAACTGCCCTAACAATGGATTGTGGTATTTTTTGGTGCATTTGTGAAAGTTTTATCCCTGAAAGAGCACTTGATTTGTAATTCTGTACACTACTTCACTTTTCTAAGAGATTGGCCTCATGTTGAGGTTGCTTTTTGTGCTGGGTACCCTAAGCCTGTCTGAAAGCTTGTGCAGAAGCTCTGGCTTCAGTGCCTTCCTGATGCTGAGATGCACAGAAATGAACCAAGCTCTTACACAAACTCATGATTGTTCTTTTAAGATTGAGTTGCTTTTCCCTCAGATGTAATTATGCTTGAAATCAAAGCATGTCCAGGAAAAAAAAAATTTATTTTTTTTCATATTGGGACAGCACTCAAGGATTTTTGAACATAAACCTGAAAGTAATTCTGTGGCATATTGTGTACAAATTACAGTACAGACAGTTTTGGGTTTCATATGAAAGTTTAGGAACACATACATTTATGTGCAATTACTAATGATTAAATTATTACTCCATTACAGGAGCATGCCCTTGGTGGTGATGGCACATCAGGATCCAGGATGATGGACCAAAGGTAACTGATTGCAAGGGATAAATGGGAATGCTGCAGTGTAGTTGAAGGAAATTGTCATGTGCTCACAGGAGTGTAAATATCCAGGTGAACTAGGTCCTGTATACACGTGTCTGTACAGGTGTTACTGTAAAAGTTCTTTTTAGGTGGTATTGTGTTTATTCAGTAAATGAAATTACTGACTTTACTGCCACAAGCTGTAAAATAAAGGATGAGAGATGAATGAAGGGATTTCTAGTCCAAGATTTGAGAGAATAAACAAAAGTTCTGGTAAGACTGCACAGATCTCGGTACCACAGGTAATTGCTGTCTGTTGAGATTGGGGGATGTTTTTAAAAATGTTTTTTTGGCACTCTTCAATTAACAGTTGTCTGTCAGTAAATGGTTTCATGATCACTGTAATTCCCTCTTACAAAAATAACCTAGCTTTTCTTCTTAGCTTTTAATATAGAATTTTCAGAGAACTTCTAGCAGTTATGAAAATATTAGGAGGGAGAATGTATAGAAGTAGAACTACAGTGTTCTGCATTGTAGTCTAGTCTTTTAATGTTTGGGATTCTGTGTGACTCAATGAAATATTAATATTGTATTAATGGTCATTTATAATATCCCATTATATGTTCTATCTCTGCTATCTAGAACCCATGCTGTTAATAATCATTATTTAAAAGTAGTGATTAAATTTGTTCATTTGATTCTGAAACTCAAGAAAAGTGACTGCTCTGTTCTGGCCTCTAGATTAAAAATTCTTTAAAACTAGTTAATTATCAGAGCAGTGCAGCATTTCCAAAACTTATTCTGATCATATTTTTCAACTTCTTAGCTTGTCAGCTCTCATCACAGAGTATGGAAAACAGGTGGAGGAAATGAGAGAGCAGCTGCAGCTTTATCAGGTATGGGCATTCCCTACATTTCAGACTGGAAATTTCTCCTTTTAGTGAATATGTGGGCACTCCTTGTTGTCATGCTTCACAAAGCTGCTGGACTGCAGGCTGCCTCAAAGGGGATGAATGGAGAGCTGTGAAAAGTTGGGAGATTTTCCAAATTGCAACAGTGTCATGCTGGGGGTTG